CCGCCGCAGTACAACCAGCAGCCGGCGGCCGGTTCCCCCCACGGCGGCGGCGGCGGCCCCAGCGGCCCTGGCGCCACGCCATACGGCACCCCTGGCGGCGCGCGGCAGTCGCCCCGCGTCGCGGGGCAGGGGCCCGACCCGAGCGCGCTTGGCCCCATGGCGCCTGGAGTGAAGGGGCGCGTGTTCGCGACGCGGGCGGGGGACGGGCTGATCGGCCTGCCGTTCCCGTGAGCAGGGGCAGCGGCTTGGGTGGCGGGGGTGGGGCCCTGCAGCAGCCCTGCAGCCAGCAAGCAAAACTGACACTTGCATGCATGACTGTCGCTTGGTGCGAGCCTGCCGTGGTGCTGCTTGACTGATTTTTGCGGTTTCATCATGTGCACCCAAGGCCATCTGCACCCGCAGGATCCGCTTGACGGACAGCCCACCAGGATGAGGACTGAATCGCAAATAAACTGCCCTGTGGCAGGTACTCTGAAGACTTCGTGAGAGCCATCAAGAGTCTGAGCTACACCACGACCAACCGCCGCTGGTGGGCGGCGGCGGCGCCAGCAGCTGCAACCGGCTGCTGCCCTGGATCTTGAGTGGGCGGGGCTCCTCGAGATTGAATGCTGCTGTTGAGCGCCGAAGGGGCTCACCCCGTGTCGTCTCGCTAGTAGTACACGCGTGCGCATGCACACGTACATATAAACACACACACACACACACACACACACACACACACACACACACACATACACACAAAGACACACACGCGCGCACAAACACACACACACTCATGCGCGCACACACACACGCGCGCGCACACACACACACACACACACGCACGCACGCACGGACGCACGCACACTCTCTGCATGTGTGCAGGCAGGGGCCGCCGCTCAAGTGCTGGACCATCCTGGCTGAATCATTTGAGGAGGTGCGGGCCTGCTGTCCACGCGCTGGACGAGGGGCACCATTGGTTATCCAGCAACCACCACCCAGGCTGTGGGGAGACGCCCTGGGTGCTTGTCAGTGTCAGATAAGCGTTTGCCGCCGCTGCAATGCGCAGCCATCCGGGTCGCTCGGGTCGCGGCTGCGCTCCCTGCCAGTCAGCGGGGGGCCGGTCCGCGGAGTGTTGTTGGGGCGCCTTTGAACCTTGCGACGGCAGCTGACCGGTCAAACGCCGGCGCGGCGCAGGCCCAGGCTGCCATGCTTTCTGAGGGCTACGAGGTGGGGAGGGGGGGGCGTGGGCGCGGGCAGGGGGGTGGTACATTTCCTCGTCGCTGTGTGGCCCTCGCTGCCTGTGATGCTTGCAAATACATGCTCGGCAGCACCACCCCGGCCAGACCCATCACTGTCACGCCCACGCGAGCGCGCAGCCAACGCCAACCGAGCCGCCGCCTCGGGAGTGCCCGCCCCGCGCCGCCGGGCGGACCGCCCAACCCCTGCTTTCCCTGGCCGCCAAACCCCCCAGGTAGTGCCTCCAGCGGAGGCGGCCCCGGGGGAGGAGCTCCTGCGTGTGCAGCTGGAGCCCCTGCCCGCCTGCGAGGAGCGGCGACGTTTGCACGTGCCAGAGGACGTGAGAAGCCAGCCGGTTGCTTGTTCTGCGGGGCCTTGCCTTGCCTTGCCTTGCTGGCAAAGCGTGACATAACGTAAGATGATGGCCTTGCGTTGCGTCGCTATCCTGATACCAGGTGTGTCGCGCTGTGCTTCGACCCGCCTTTCGAGCCCATATAAGTCCTGCAGCATACCCCATCAAACGGCCTTGCAGCACGCGGCTCCCACACCCCGGTCCGCCATTTTTTCCTGCACGACAGCGGGGCGCCCCACTCTCCCGCCTGCCCCCTGCCCTGGTCCGCCCCCAACCCCGGCCGCAGGTCTGGTTGCGGCTGATGCCATTCCAGCGGGAGGGAGTCATTTACGCACTGCAGCGGCAGGTGATCGCGCGGTGCTTCGAGAGCGGTGGGAAACGTCGTCGCCGCGCCAGGACCGGCCTGCTGGCCAACCTGGCCTGCAACACTCACACACACACACACAAACGCGCGCGCACACGCACACACACACACACACACACATACACGCACACACACGCACACACACACTGTTTCCCCCCCTCCTCTCTTTCTGTGCCGCCCGCACGTTTGTTCACACACCCACGCACATGCACACACACCACCTTCACACACACACACACACACACACACACACACACACACACACACACACAAACTCAGTCCCGCACACTCCCACAGGGCCGCATCCTGTTGGCGGATGAGATGGGCCTCGGCAAGACAGTCCAGGTACTCACCCGCTACCAATTGACGTGCTAACCCACAAACACACCTGCCCACTTGCGACGGCACTGCTTGCACACCTCCTGCCCCGGCCAGCAGCCCCCTCAGCCCGCCAGTCAGAGCAAAGCAGGGGCCCCCCTCAGCCTGACCATCCCGCACCGCGGCGCGCGGCCCGCGCCTGCGCCCCGGGATCAACCATCCCAGGCCATCACTATCGCGGCCTGCTACAGCGAGGACTGGCCCCTGCTGGTGGTCTGCCCCGCATCCCTGCGCGCCATGTGAGCGCCACGGCTTGCAATGAGCTCACACTTTTAGCCCTCACCAATCGCCCCGTCACGCACGGGCTCGGCCGGCCTGGGGCCGCCGCGTCTCGTGCAAACAGCCAGCTCCCTGCACGCAGCTGGTCTGGCGGGCTCCGCGCCCGCGCCACTGCGTGCAAAGCTGGTTTGCGGCTTGCCGCAGTCCACCCTCTGCTGCGCGGCCCTGCTGCTTCTGCAACCCGCCATCCGCTCGACCAGGCGGTCTGCCACCCCGCGTCGATGTGAGGCGCATCTTTTCCCACCGAACATTTCGAACGGCGTGTCCCACCCCCAGGTGGCGCAGCCAGCTGCTGGAGTGGCTGCCGCCTGCCTGCAGGCCCAAGGGGCCAGAGCTGGTGCTGGTTCAGAGGGGGGCTGACCTCGCCAACTTGGAGGGCACTGGTGGGTGCAGGGGCGGAGCGCGGGTTTGTGGGGTGCAGGGTGGCAAGGAGGGAAAGAGGAGGGCAGACAGACAAGGGTGCAAGTGCGTGCGCATGTGCAAGCTTGCGTGTGCGCGCGTGCGCGTGCATATGTGCGCATTTTCCAGGTGTGCGCAGTGATGCGCTTTCGCGGCGCGCCCGTGCTTGAGTCCTTGTAAGAGCAGCGTCTCACGCCGCTCACGCTCCGAGCGGCAGCGTGCCAGCTTGTTGGCCCAAGGACCTTGCCAAAGACAAGCTGGATTTGCCCCTCGTCTCGAACCACGCGGGGACCCGCCTCTGCCGATTGTGATGCCAGCCGTCGCCCCCCTCTGCTGCCTCGGAACAGGCCCTAACACACCAGCACATCGGTGCAATTACAGGAAGATACCCCACCTCCCTTGCCCTTCCAACCCAGTGCCTTGCATGTGCCGCCTCTTCAATCCCAAAAGGTGCCCCTGCCCGCGGCCGCATCGTCATCATCGGGTACTCATTGGTCGAGCAGCTGGGTGACCTGGCAGACCGCTACCGGACTGTGGTCTGCGACGAGAGCCACCAGCTGAAGAACAAGGACAGCGCCCGCACCAGGTTCATGAGCAAGGTGATGATGTCACGATGATGTCACACGCCGCCCCGCCCATCCGATAGCACCGGAGATTTTTTGCTGCCTTGTTTGCGCTGCAGACGCAGGACGGCGCAGCATTGTGCGCCCCGAGGGGCGGGGGCTGTCAGGTCCCCTTGAACGCGGCGGATGGGCGGTGCGGACGACCCGTCTTTCGGATGGAGTCCCACAACTTGCGTCTTTCACTCTGCCCGTCTCTGCAGGTGGTGCGCAACGCAAGGCGGGCCGTCCTCATCACCGGAACGCCCCTGCTCAGCCGCCCCATAGAGGCCTGGCCGCAAGTGCGGGGACCGCCCGGCGGCGGGATGGTCGCGCGGCGCCGGTTGCTACAGCTTGGGTGCACCGCAGGGCGCCGTAGTTGCGCGCGCCTGACGGCTGAGAAGCTGCCACCCCGCAAACACCCACAAACAGCACGCGCCCCTGGGGACAAGTGAGTCAGCTATCCACGAGACTCTGGTTGCCAAATTGTCGCCTCCACGTGTTCCGCCTGCGTGGTCGCCTGCGTGCCCTGATGTGCCTTGACAGGTCGACATGCTGCGGCCGGGCCTGCTGGGGTCCTTCGACGACTTTGGGGAGCGCTTCTGCCGCAGCCCCGCAGACACGGCCATCGTCGCGGGCGGCGGCGCCGGGCGCGGGCGCGGGCGCGGGAGGGGGTTCCGCGGCAACCCCTACAAGTGAGCGCTTGACGGGGTCGCGGCTGCGCGGGCACCAACGCGGCAGCCCGGGCCGGTGCCAATGGCCGCCCGATGCAACAAAGATGACGATGCACCGCGTCGGTCGCGCCGCAGCCTCTCTGAGGAGCAAGACCCCCCCTTATCCCCTCCCCCTCCAGCCATCTGCACGCACCCCTGACCCAACCTCGTCCCGCCAACGCACATCAAGCCCGCCCCCCTGCTGCATCTTCCCTCTCCGCGTCTCGCCCCTCATCCGAGCCCACACAAAAGCATCCATCCGTCCATCTGGCCACCCGTGTGGCCACCCGTTTGAACCTTCTCCCGTTCAAAACCCTCTCAGCGGGGCGAGCAACCTGGAGCAGCTGCGGCCGCTGCTGGAGGAGAACGTGATGCTGCGGCGCACCAAGGACGGCGTCCATATGACACTGCCATCCAAGACGCGCCACAAGGCGCGTCCGCCGCGGCCGCGGCCGGGCCCACACCCATGCGCCTGCCCCTGCCCCTTCCTTATGTGGCGCTCTGATGCAATCAGGCCGCGCACCCAACCCTGCTGCACGGTCCCCATATACCACCCATTCTATCGCTGTAGCGCCTCGTGGCCTCTTGACATATGCACAAGCGAGTGGCTGTTCTCGCTCGAACCACACTCTCGCCGCGTCTGGTCAAACGTCGGTCAACTCCAGATCGAGGTGGAGATCAGGGACCCCTCCCGCAGCAGCCAGATCGCCGACATGCGCGCCGCGATGGCGGCGCTGCAGGCCGAGATACGGGCGCGGGGCGGGGGCGACGCCGACAGGCTGGAGATGCAGCGGCAGCAGCTTCTGCAGGAGCTGTTTCGCGTCACCGGCAAAGCCAAGGTGCGGCTGAGTCAGTGCTGAGTCAGCCTTTGCGGCGGTTGCATAACTGCGGTGCGGCTGAGGGTCTGCTTTTCGGAGGGGTGGGATCTCTGACGATGGGCCCTGGGCGGAACGGCCCTTGCGCGCGGGCCGGGAATTAGGGGCGAAGCAAGGCGAGGCGACGCCCTTGACAGGAGCGCGTGTGGGGGGAAGTCGCCTTGCTCGCGGCCAGTCAGGGCGGCGTGCGCTGCTCTGGTGACTGGAGCGGTCATCAGCAGCGCAGCGCGCTGCAGAGCCCTACCTTTGAGCCCACCGTTGGGCGACAAGCAAACTTCGCCGACTGTCAAAATTGGGGGGCACAGGTCCTGGCCGCGATAGATTTCATTGCCGACGACATCCTGGGGCTGCCAGCCGAGCCCGAGGCGGGCGCGGCAGCCGCCGGC